AAAAAAAAAAAAAAAAAAAAAAAAAAAAAAAAAAAGATATGCGTCTCAATCTATGTACGTTTTTCCAATTCTCTGCCTCGCAGCAAATCCTAATATCATAATTTACCGATGAAAATCGACAAATGTATATCTACTGTATATCTACTGTTACGATTACTTTTTTTCTGCTAAAAAAGGGACAATAAATAACTACTTTTATTATTTGTAGACAACACAGTTCAACCAAATTGAACAACCGTAAAAAAGTAGCAAAAGCATAACGATGCTTACGGTTCCGGCCGATTCCAGACGAACGCGTCCTGGTTCACCGCGTCCAAGAGCACGAAATCGTGCAACACTTGTGGCCTTAACTCCAGCTGTTAAAATACGGACACATGACATGTTAACACCGGCAGAAAGAAGATTCTTAGAAGCTGCAGAAATGGGCGATCGTCCAACAATAGCATCTTGTTTAGAACAGGTTTTTATTCTTTTTTTTTTTTTTTTTTGTTACTGCTCTTATATAAGTCTGTCTTTTTTAAGCTTTCGTATTGATAATTTATTTTAGAGGGCTCAGAATTAAAACTTTCAAAAGACATGCTGATACTACTTACTATTCCTGATCGTTTAGTCTATACAGTTGACTTAAACTTTTCATCTTGTCCTAGGCTATAGCTTTGGAAGACTGAGAAAAAGCCCAATGAATTGTTTTGAAAACAAAACAAAGGAAAAAAACTTGTTGGAATTTTTCAGAAAAGCGTAACACCACTAAACATAAACGCTGTCGACAGTATGGGACGTACGGCAATTGAAATTGCAGTGGATAATGAAAATAATGAAATTGTGGAATTACTGCTACAACAACCGGACATCCGTATTGGAAATGCTTTACTTTGTGCAATTCGTGAAGGTCTAAAGTTGTTTTCTAAACTGTTAAGTTTAGGCTTTCCAGTATTAGGTGAAATATGCAAAACACAATTGGCGCACAAAAATATTTAGAAGAAAAAAAAAAAAATGGAAAAAAATCATGTTTGTTCATCTTGCTGCTTCAAAACTCTTATTGAACTGTTTCAAATTTCTGTTAGTGGTTGAGCGAAAATATACAACAAAACTAGTTGAATAATTTTGCAACATCCAATAACATTGCTTAGGTGTTTATAAAACCGTTGAAATGTTGGTTAATCATCCAAGTATCAACAAATCAATGTTAGGCGAGGGTTGGGCAAATTATATTGAATCATGTGATACAACTTCTGCAGAATATTCCAGGTATCTAGGTGATCTACAAATTTGCTACTAATTTTTTTTTTTAAATACTCAACTATTTTCAACATCGCAAAAAAAAAAAATATTTATGGCATCTGGAAGCAGCTACAATTGTTGTTGTCATTTTATAAATTCGATTTCTTTTCTTTTAGTGATATTTCTCCAGTGATATTGGCTGCTCATCTAAATCAGTTTGAGATTTTGCAAATGCTTTTGAGCAAAGATGCCACTATTGAACAGCCACATAAACATTCTTGTCAATGTCCAGTATGTGATCGAGAACGTTTAGAAGATTCTTTGCATCATTCTCTGAAGCGAATAAACACATATAAAGCGCTAGCAAGTCCAGCC